GAGATGAATAGTCGCTTTAAACCGTTGATTAAGAACAACGTAACCATTTACAGAGGTTCGAATATTTTTATTGTTTTCTCCATAATCCTCACTGGCACGAATTTATCAATAAATAGTGCATACGAGATTTCCAGTAGTAGTAGGTACTTTAACGATGTCAGTAATTAAACGATCATACGTCGCGAATTCAAATGGAATCATTTTACAATGATACATTTTGTTCGAGTTACGTGTATACGATGAATTTTCGATACAAGAGCGTATAATCGACGGTCAGCCGATAATGCTACCGCATTTCCCAGTGAACGATATTCAACATTTTATGCGATCAGAATAAATAGTTTATGGAGCGTTCTATCCATTTTACAGAATACCATTTTCTATGTATATATCAAAGCAGATAGATGTAACGTTAAACGACGCTCTCGTGACTTGAAAATCGATAATGTATGAAAACCGCCCATATAATCTATAAAGTTCCAATCGTTTACAGGGTTTAAAAATTAGAACATTCGCAAAATCTTCATGCATGAAATAATCCCTATTCTCTTATCGAGCACATAGCCACATTATTATTAATATCAGCGGTGATCTGTATATCGGTGGATCATCGTAATAATTACGTAATAAATCGATACGATGAGCTAAATGAAGAGGAGGAGGAGGAGGAGGAGTATAAAACATCGTAGGTTGCATAGATTGCAAAGATTCGAATAGTTGTAAAATTGTACGGCCATGTTTCTCTCGTTGATTTGCGTTTACGCGCAATCGATGCGTTTTGGCCGCTCTACGTCGCAACGGATTTGTGTGCGATCGTTACCGCATAGGTACGTGTCGCGTATCTACATGCAAAGAAAGGCATATATTCCTGCCGTGTCGTTCGAGTTAGAGAGAGATAGAAAGAGAGAGAGAGCGAATGTGAAAAAGGGGTGAGTTAGGGGAAAGTAGAAGAGAGAGAAAGAGAGAGAGAGGGAAGCAGAGAGAGAGAAAGGGAAACAGACAGAGGAAGAGAAGGCGAGTCCTCCGTCACGTACGAGTGGGATAGGTCCGTACGATATGCAGCCATTTGCATACATATAGGGTCATTATAAATATACCGACTCCCTACAGCCTGTCTCTCCATCGTCCAGCCCATCAGAAGCAGAGCCGCTCGCAAACTGTCCAATGGTTCCGCTTATCCGTTATTGTGCCACCATCGTCGCCGCCGCACCATCGGTATCTACGTTTTTACGAACGTTATGAACGAAAAGGATTTTTGAAATCTGATGGTTGAAGAAAAAGATCGAGGATTGTGTAAACCACACAATAAATCACCGTAAACTTTTTCCCAATTTAGTTCACGTTATCTACTAATATGATAGTTAAAATTAAATTCACCGCTGACAATTTCACTGATTTGGTAATTGTACATAAAAAAAAAAAATATGTTTAGATAGATAGAAAAGCATAATAAAATGAAGGACTTTAAGTTAGTAGAAACGATCGGGAAGAAGAAATTCGAAGATATGTTTCTTCGCGGAAGAGTCAGGAAGATTTCGTCGTAGTTCCGACAAGCGCACGTAACGATGCCGAACGATTCGAGTGACACGTGAAAAGTCCTAATGGCGCATCTATTTTTCACGTAACATCGTGGACTCAAGGGGGATAGAAAAATGTGAGTGAACGAGTGAACGAAAAGGCACACACAACTAAAAATGCTGTGACGCCGGCCTGTGACCGTAATCTTCCAACTACCGGCGTTATATAATGTGAGCCTATGGTGCATCCTATTAACATATTTCCCGAGCACCACCAAGTAGTAAACTCTTTTTCACGTGTACGAGAGCACGAAACGGTGCTATAAATGGTACGTTGATGGGTTTGTACGAGCGTCAACGCGAGACGCGAGTTGGAGTTAGGGGTAGGTAACGCATTACAAATGCTAATGGGAAGTGCATAGTAGATGTTCCGCATAGAATACATTACCGTCTCGCTCCTCAGTCATTAGCCGAGAAAGTACGAAACCCTAGGGCGAAATGTAACCGAAGAAGTGTCCACGTATTTAAAATAAAATCATTGCGAATGATCGAAAAGTTCCCTGGGATGTATCTGTTAGGTCAGTTCTAAATATCTTACTACAATATTTACACGATTTTCGTTGACGATTTTGATAGATTCGTCGGAATAGTAACTATGCCGACGAATTTAAAACAATGGCCCAATTAAAGGTAGGAAGCTTTCTTCAATGTCGACGACTGCGAACAATTTTTAATTAGGAGCCACGACAAAGTGGGAAGAAATAACAGGCACCGATCGATCCCTCGTCACCAAAACCACAGACCACCGCTGCCCGTTTCAATGCCCTCCCAGTAACCAACAAACTCGACGAGGGAAAAATTAACTCGTAACTTGGGTGAGAGTAAAAAGGCTAAAGGAGGAAAAACGTAAAGGAGATGTTAGGTGCGAGGTATGCTTGCTCATGAAAACACTGAAATAAAATACATGAGTTTAATATCTTCTCTGATATAATAATAAAAAGGGAAAAAAAAGGAAAGAAAGAAATAAGAAAAAGAAAAAAAAATTAAGAAAAAGAAGAAAAAGAAGAAAAAGAAGAAAAAAGATTTCAAGGGAACGTATTTTAAGAGGGTAAAAAAGAGGAGAAAATAAAAAGGTGGAAGCAAGCAAGAAGGTGTTGAGGAAAGAGAAGGGTAGAGGTGGGAGGGCATTTACCTACGTCTTTTTTCATAAGTTCTTTAGAATCCAGACTGCCAAGAAGTTCTTCGTATAGTTATTTTCAAGAAGGAAGCATAGAATATTGCGCTTATTATTTCCTCGAGTGCGTGTTCGTGCGCACCCATGTTCATATACATGTACATATATATACATATATATGTGTATATGCGTATATATATATATATATGCATATATATATATATATATATATATATATATATAGACGCATATAAACGTACATATTTTTGAATACTTTAAGCAAAATTGCAACTCTAAAATGTTCACTATTCTCCTCGCATGTAGGACATGTAACAATACGTATGCAAATGCTTAATACATTACGCTCGTAGTATCCCAAGGAAGTGTCGCCAAAAGTTTCCGACGTAGTCTGAGAGATTGCAGCAATTCGACGAGCAATCTTCCATTTAGCGAGAAGCTGTTAGTTACGTACCTTGAAATCGATAAAGTCGAGTTTAATGAAAATTACATTATTAAACATAAATTAGATTACGATGGCTTGTCTGATATTAATAAATAAGTATCAAATACGTCAATGTTGTATCATTGGAGTCGAATTTTTTCAATTGTCATGGAGAGAAAATATATCGTCGTTTTTTAATTAAACCCATTACAATATCATGGAGCATGCTGAAGTAATACGAGCTGTATAATCGCTCGTAATTATTTCATTCTTAATAGCCCATTTAAATGGACGTACCGCATTATGCTTCCTCATTCTACGAGGAACTTTGCTCTTACCCTCTCCCGAATATATCATTCGCAGAAACAAAACGGCGAGACTCGTTGATATGCTTTTTATCGATTCCTTTGATAAAAAAATCCTTTCCTATGTTTATCTATCCATACGAGAAATTATTGATAACGAAAAGAAACTGAAAAGAAATATAAATAGAGAAAAAGGAAGAGATCCGAAGAAGAACAGTATCGAGACTAAACTCGTGAGTAGACGCTTTGCGCGCCCTCGGTCTCTCTCTCTCGGGATCGTCCGACCTACCCTCTCTTCGAGCGCTTCGAGCGAGAAACGAAGGAACGAGAGGCAGACCACCCCTCTCAGCCGCCCTCTCTACCGCCTACCAGCCCCTCCATCCGACAGACCACCCCTCCAGTTACCACCACCTCTTCTCTTGCCGGCGTCGTCGCTGCTGCCACCACCACCACCACCACCATCGTCACCGCCACCGCCACCACCGCCGCGATACATTGCGATACACGGCTCTTGTCTCCACGCTGCCTACCTACGTGCAGGACACGGCGCTCCAAGTCCACAAGCCCGCTAGCAGACACACTATTAGGACACCTAGACACACCGTCACCTTTCTATACCTCTTTTCTCATTCATAGACCTATCTATCGTCCACCCTTTTTAATATCCACCGTCGAAACGACCCTCCTCACTTCTCATCGAGACCGTTCGACCCTGATACCAACCCCCAACTAGTACCACTACTACTACCACGATACAACCGCCACCACTACTATTACTTTTACCACTACCACCACTACCACTACTACCACCATCGAAACACATCGGTACAAAGCAGCAACGTGAGTCGTAAACATAACAACACTCTTCGAAGACGCACGCGTACAAACAAACTATCGTCTATTGAAGAAACTGATTTCGCGCTTCTTCAAACCTCGGACTTTTCGTCGCGTCTTTTACCTCGCTAAAGTGATTAATCATACGCGCTTCGTTCAATCTCATTGCTGCTGTTAATAATAATAACCATAACCAACATCAAGACGAAGAACATCGAGAGTTATTCAGTGAATATTATTCAGTATTCTCGTTGATTGTGTTACTGTGATGTCTACGTGAAAGTAAACACGTGGTAGAAACTAAACCGATATTATTCAGTGGATCTTTACAATAGGGGACCAGTGCATCTTTTTTCACTTTTTCCTTTCCGTCGCAATTCAAAAATCTTTTTGATCCGACTTTTCGCTATTTTTTTTTTTTACCAGTGAAATATCCTAATTCAGTGCCTTAACAAATCAATTCATTTTGTCTTTGGGCTAAAAATAAATATATAATAAAATTGTCAAAATTATATGAAAGAGAAGTTTTCAAACGTCGAACTTGTCCGACGGAATTTGTCTCTTTCATCCGACTCATCTCGTCGTATATGAAAAAATATCAAAATAAAATCGTGAAATAATTGGTCGAATCGTGAAATAAGGATACATGAGGAACGAACTGGAATTGGTAGGGCGATTCGATCGACAAGTTAACCGGTCTTCATGGGTTTTTAAGTGATCCCTCGCACACATCCAATTGTTCTTCTTGAAAGTGTCGGCACTTTAAGTAGTACACATTAAAATAAATCGAACGTAGAGAGGAAAATAAAGCCGTCTCGATATTCGCTCGAACGATTAGAGTGTTTTTCGAGGAAGAGAATAAAAAGTAAAAGAAAAAGAAGAAGAAAATTCGTTGAACGATCGTAGCGGAAGAAAGGAAGGAAGTGGAAAAAGATAAATATTCCGGTGAATAGTCTAACTGAAGGTAGTGCTTGCCACGTGAAACTGGTCGCTATTTCGCCGGGCTAGACAAGCGGCAAAGGCTCGAAACCCCCTGGTTTCCCGCGCACAGTACGAGCGAAGCACACACAACTACCCCGACCAACCAACCGACGAGCCGAGCCGCCGCCACCAACCCCTACACACAACAACCCAACGAAGCATCCCCCACTCTGAATCGCACAACAGCCTGAGCGGAAGTGCTAGTCAGTCGGCGAGCGACCTTCCAACATTACGGGTTAGGTTCCCTCTTTTTCCGCCCGTCGTGTCTTCGTCCTCGTTTGTCTGAACGCGGGGACAAGCTCCGTTGCGGTTCGCGTCAACGTGAAAGGGAGAACGGAGATAGTAAGAGAAAGAGAGAGAGAGAGAGAGAGAGAGAAAGGGAGAGAGAGAGAGAGAGAGAGAGAGAGAGGGCAATCACGCGAGAAGATACGTGCCATCTCGAGGAGGAGAGATTACGGGGGGTTGCCGTCGCTTCATTCATTTTCTATAATAAATCGTCAACCTGACGATTACTCTCTACGACATCCGCCGCAACCGCATTTGATACGTCCGTAGAAAATCAGGAAAGAAGAGAATACAAAGTGGAAAGTAGTATAACGAGTAAAGGGAAAGGAAAATATATAGGATAATGTCATTTTGAACGGATCCCTCGTTCCGTTCAAAAAAATCATTGCGATATTTCTCACGATCGATCAACTAGCAATTATAGTGTATTTCTACTATCGTTACCGATCATCATCGATCTTTCCTCGTACATCTCCTATCGGTATATCAAAGTACAACGAATAACGATTGTCTACGATTATTATTTTCTTTAGGAACGCGTGTGTTACATCTCTGTGCGAATATAAACGATGGACCTAGAGATCTTTTAGTTAATTGTGATACGACACATTTGCATACCGAGAATACATCGTTGAAGAGCCACCTGTTCGCGAAAGTGAAATCGACGATCGACGAGAATTCCGAGAGAGGAAGATCATTACGCGCGATAGCCGATTGAAATGGTGAGAGGATAAAAAAGTGCCGCTATTGTGAACGGGAAGGGAGGATCGCGATAAATCGTTGTTGTGTACTTGTTGAAACGTTCGAGCATGTTACTTTTCCTTTAATACTCCGATAACTATTTCCTATTCGAAACTCGTGTTGGCGCTATAGTTGAAGAAAGTTTTCCACGGGAGAGAGAAGTCGTAGCCCTAGAAAGAGGAAGATCGTAAACGCGTTCGTGAGAAGGACGTTCTTCGTACTCGGGAAGTTTCCGTTCACCGACGCTTCTCACACTGCCTCTTCTGGAGATTGCGATCGGAAGCTATCCCAGCTCGACCACGTGGTTATGAGTAAGCATCAGAGGCGCCGTGACTTCTCCCGGTGAACGCACACGCTTAGCTGCTTCGTCTACATTTCCACTCAGCCGATCAACGACGACTACAATTATACCTTAGCTACTTTTCGGTATCGATACTCCTGAAATTAGTCGGATCATTTTATCGCGATTAACAAATTTGTGCACTATTATTGATCATTGAGCTCTATTCTTCGAGTATTTAATTGACGCGTTGAAAGATATCCGAAATAATTTGAGTTTGTCGAGGCTGGAAAGAAATAAAAAGTTTAATTAATAGTGAAATAAACGTAAAGAAATCGCACGTAAGTGATCGAAGGTGATCGAGTTGGGAAGAAAAGAAAGTAGCAAGATCCCAGCCGCGGGGGATCCCGAAAGGAAGGAGGGTCCAGCTGAGGTGGTCCAGTCCGGCTCAACGATCGGTGTCAGGAGGCCGAATCAGTCAGGCAATTCAGGAGGGTGGGTGCAGTGGTGCAGTGGTTGCAGGAGGGCCAGCGAGGTTGGGGTGGCCTCGTCTACAGGCGCGTTGGCACCGAGCGCACCGGGCCCCGGGGCTGCGGTGGTGGGCTGCCTGCTTGGGGTGTACCCGTGTTCTCCCTCCTCCACGGGGCCCAGGGGGCCCCTAACTCATCACCACCTTCAGGCTATCCCGGCACCACAACAAACGATCGGCTGCCGTGCCTGTTGCTGTGCGCATACCAATCACCAACCTTCTTCGGTCCAGCTTACTAGCCAACGGGGCGGCCTATCGCTGAGGGTAGCGAGGGTGGCGTCCACCACCTCCGTCCGAGCCGCCCCCTACGCCCACCCCCAGCATCAAGGGCTGGGGCAGGAGTGCAGGTAATGATAAATCGCTAAGATACATTCCTACCTTCACTTCGATACCTATATATATTATTACTACCCTACTACTATCATCACCAAATACTACTACTACTACTACTACTACTACTACTACTACTACTACTACTACTTCTACTACTACCATTGTAGTCACTACCACTACTTCTACCACCACATCCGTTACCACTCTCTTCGTCATCATTCTCGTCCTCGACGGTGATCGATAAGATAAAATCCCTATAAAAAATTATAATCAAACAAAAAAGGCAATAATACATAGTAGCACGTCGCAAAAGTAAGAGTAAATATAAAAATAAAAGTTATAAATCAAAAATAATAAAAAAAAAATAAAAAAAAAAATAAAAAAAACCACAACAACAAAACAAACACGATCGATGGACTAAAAGAGCTATCCAAAACCAAAAACGCACGAAAAAGGTGTAGGGAGGAGACGGGGGCATTGGGTGGAGGTGGTGCGCACATCCTCGGCAGCCCGATGCTGTTCGTCCCGTTCACGGTGCCCACTTTCCCTGCGACGCACCATCAGACGACTCATCCTGCGCATCAGACACATCATCAACAGCTGCAGGCCACCAACCAGAATCCGGTGCAGCAGCCGCAGCAGCTCAACCAGCTGAATCAGCTGAGTCACCTGAATCACCAGGGCATCGTGCCGCCGACAACCAATCAACCGACTGTACACAGCACCAGCTGTTCGCCGCAGCAACAAGCGACTACACCGAACAAGGTAAAAAGACTGCACAACCGCTAGCGTCCTCGCTCGACAACTACCAACTTTCGTGCTTTTCTGTCGAGCGGATCCTTAATAAAAAAAAAAATGATTTTACAGCAAATAGGTATGTCATTGACGTAGGTAATTGATCAGCTTAGATTATAGACGCCTAAGTAAATTTACATGCCGGATGTTATCTCGAACACAAGGTAGATCGTTGTACGTCCATTCACGAATGCTGTGCTCAGTAGAATGCTCCTCAATCCTGAAATACATTTTATCCCTCCTATGAAGTATCCGTCTGTCGTGTACGTTTTGCTTTGTAACGAATGTTGTTATATAAAGTAAGTACACATATTTCCTCTGCTACTTACCTATAGTATTTGTACAGTTGGCTCGTATCTTAAGTTAAAGCGGTGATACGTGTATGACTCCATATATATATGTATGTATGTATGTATGTATGTAGGTATTTTAAATACACATACCAACGAAGGAAGTTATCGAATATTTCGTTTAAATAAGGACCGAGACAATTTTATGCACTTACCGGCTATGTTTGGTTTCCTCGATCGGTCACTGTCATCGGCAGTGATTATAAAAATATCACAAGAACTTTAACAACTCATAGATCATTCATCATCGAGATAACGAAATATTGCTTTGATGATTACGCATCGCCGATTACCTTTCGTTGCTTTATTTAGTAATGGAACGAAATGAAAAAAGGCAATGCGTCGAATGCAATTTTATCGATTCAATAATTTTGTTATATGAAACGACAAGTATACATTTACGTCATAGTTGTTGGAATCACTTTTAGTTTCTTACTGAGAAAAGTCGATATTTTGCTAGGATCGTTTCGTAGGAATATTACGAGCATAGTGTATCGACGATAACATCGATCCTAATGTAATACGTACTCGAGTATAATCGATACTCATTGCTACGTACATAGGTACATTGTTGTGTAGCGTATCGCAAAAAGAACACGAGCATTCGGTATCGATTGTGCGTCCGAATAAAAAAGCACTATAGCAATATATTTCTTTCTTCGATATTTTTCGTTTCTACCAAAGAGTGCAACCGGCAGTAGCCATGAACATCGAAAGAGTTCTTGCTTACCGGTATCGGATCGTTTCCTTCATATTTCTCGCTCGTAGCTCCACATAGCGGGGCGCGCTTTTATTATCCTGGCGTGGATTCAAGTCAATTTTCTTTAGCGAGCCATAACTCGCCTCTCGTATCCTTTCGAAGAGGGCTTTCGTTGCGACGACGACGTTTGCCGTGGCGCGTGGTGACAGGGTTGGCAGCGAGAATGCGACTTAATTTCTCGAATTCTGGCACCTCGCGGTAGTAGTCCGCGTTACCCTTTTCCGGGCTAACTTTTCCAGCCCGTTTTGCGTCGATCTCAACTCTTTCCCACTCCTTGTATCGTTCGGTAGGAACATTCTTACGGAAACCAACTCCGACTTTTGGCGCTCGTTTGAGTGTTCGACGAAAAGATGCATCGTCTTGTCGCGCGAGTTATCAATTATCTGGATGCTCACTACAAAAAAAACTAGGTATACCCGAAAATAGACTATTCTTTTTCAATGGTTCAAGATAAATATGCTAAATATGCTTACTTGAGAAAATAATAAGAATAATAATTCTTTCGACGTGTATACATATAAATAAAAATCGTTCTTTTAAGAAAGATATCATTACTCGATGTAATGTACTATATCGTGATTCGCTGATCATCTTTTCGGTAGGAAATGGAGTATTTTTAAATTAGCAGGGGAACGCGTACGAGTTTTACAAAGAGATCCAACTTCCCGGAAAGGATCCCACTCTAAGGAAAATCGAAGAAGGTAGAAGAAGAAGAAGAAGAAGAAGGGATGGAAAAGGAGAAGGGGAGAAATAGCAGAATTTCTAAAGCGGAGGGAAATAGCTGGCGCGCGTTGGGAGGAGAGAACGAGTAGAGAAGGAGCGGGAAGACTTTGAGAGTTGTTCGCGTAACTTTATTAATTAAAGGCCGTTAGTCCTTGTTGCTCGATACACCTTATATACCTGCCACGGTCGTGGCTCTCTTGTGCAAAGAAGATGAGATCCCTCATCCCAGTACGTACCAGCCCCTGTTTCTTGGTGCCTCTATATCGACTCTTCTTCGGGTATCGATCATCGTCTCTGTCCATCGTAAATTCCGATGGATCATACTGTAATTTAATAAGATACTATTACACTTTCAGAGAGTCGAATGAATTTTGCACGATGTCGTTGTCTTTCCTTCGCTTTGGTTCTTATTTATCCCGTTTTTCTTCGAAATCTCTCAAAACGAACAACGAACAAAATCCAAATAAATTTATATTAATAATTAACAGAAAAACATCAGCATGAAAAGGTTTCTTTCATATATATCGTAGAAAAGATAAAGATGATGGAAAATCTTTATATCATATCATAAATTTTACTCGACCTCGAAAAGATTAACTTTTTCTATTATGTCGGTTTACGTACTTTTCACCGCTGCCAACCTTCGATACGATTCTCATACATTCATTAGCTATGAAATTGGAGTTTCGTCGATCCAATCATATTGCTTCTTGCACGATACTCGACTTCGTAGATCGTTCTTCCTCTTGTGGGTTTCCTTCGATTTAAAGACATATGTCTTTAAAGATACTCTTTGCTTGTAAGAAAAATCCTTTCGAACGGTGGTCTCGAGAGAAAGAACGAAGAGTCTCGTGCCATGTCGTTAGAAAAAAATTAGCTGGTCAAAAGGGAAGAAAGAAAATGAGCGAAGGAACTCATTATGAAAGTAGCAGAGGGTGTAAGGGTGAAGGTAGATCGAGGGAGGTAGGGTAGGAGTGTTGAGTAAAGCCGACAAGAGAGGGATGGGAATGTGTAACCGTTTTGAAGAAAAAGAGACGCGAAGGTTGCTCCTACCAACGAAGGGATGACGAGAATGAGCGCGAACACGAGCTGCCTGCCTGTGATGGCTGGTTGATGCGCGCGCGCGCACACGGCGAAGATCAAAGCGATGGAGATGATTTCATTACGACACGCCACTCGTCTACTCCGTTGAAATATCAAAAGAGTCGCGGCTCCATACAAGTATGGCAGTCGTTGCCACAGACACCGCGCTGTAGGTTGCGTGCCGCCTGTAACTTTCAAGCACAATGCTTTTATTCTTCGTTTTACTCACGAATCAAATGGAGGTCTGCTTATTTTAAAAACGTCTTCATTTTGATCAAAATGTAAAATTGTATGTATTGTTGAAATAACGTTAACTTAATAATTCTCAAGTCAAGAATAGATGTATTTATTATATAAATAATATTTACTTTTTAAGAGGTATCATAAATTTGTATGATTCTCTCATCATCTTTATTAGAGTTACATGTTATCAAATGACAAATCATTAATTTCTCTGACTCTTAAATAATACAAGATAGCCATCTCTTTTTCTTTTTGTCGCGAGAATTTGAATCCAAACGTAATATCACTGAAATAATACTGATCGATTATTTTTCATAGACGTCGAAGGTTCCATTTAAAAGCACAATTTAAAAAATATATCTATATGTATAAATATAGAGAGAAGTTGATCGCGTCAGGCACAAGGAAACTTATCATTTTTAAACTCGATTAACTTCCTTCAACCAGGCAGATTCGACGATTTTCCGCGAGCGAAACGGTACCGCAATGCCGAGCTCGTTCTTTCCGGTTTTCATTCGGTTATCTTTCATCGATGCTCCGTATCATATTCGTTAACGGAGCGGCGGAGGATGGCGGAAAAAGGCACGTCTATAGAGAAAGGGTGGCACAGGGGTGGTAAAGGGATGAGAAACGAGGATAGTTGGTGGGATGGTACTCTGCCGATACGGGGAAAAGCTCTTGCGTACGGCTGCACCGCAATTTCGCGGGATTTCAATAGCTTTCTGATATTCAAGCTCTCTCTCAGATCGATGTGCAACGTCGTTTAGAGTTTTCGCGCGATCATGGGCACGCGTGCGCGTGATGCCAACCGATAAAAAGAGACAGAATGTCGAGAGCTTGAACGAGAGAGAAAGAAAGAGTAAAAAAGGTGCAGAACGAGACGAGGTAGAGGGATGGGGATACACGGCGAACGGGCAGTAATTAAAACGAAATTCCTAAAAAGGAGCAGCAGCACGCTCGTAATGGATACAACGCGACGGTAACAGGAGAGGGTGAGGAGGAGTTTCTCGACGAAGAGAGATAGGGAAGAGAGAGAGAGAGAGAGAAAGAGAGAGAGAGAGAAAGAATAGAGTGGTGGGGAGGTTATCATAAAATTTTACAAATGAGCGTCCCGAAGCTCTCTCCCACGCGCTAGCTTACATAGAAGCCAGCGGGCCATGCAAAAATAAAAAAGTATATGGCAAAAGTAGAAGTAACAAAAAATGCCGAATAGCAGAGAGAGCTCCAGAGCGGCCTGGTCCCTCCCTTTTCGTTCTCGTTGCAACCCTTCGCAACCAACTCGCACCCCCTGTTACCGTCGTGGTGCTTGCGAACCGCAGATACAAACAAACAGTGCTTCCTACACGAGAGGAAGAGAGAGAGAGAAAGAGAGAAGTAACAAATGCCGGACATTTACATTTAACAGCGAGGGGTTTCCGAGGCTCACTCTCCCCCTTCTTTACTCGTAACATCCCTTTCTTTTTTTCTCTCGTCTTGCACCCTTTCGTTGCTTGCCATCGCTAACGAGAGGAACGAGCATGCTTCTGCACGTGCTATGGTACTCGCGTTACGTAGGTACTGCGGTACCTATAGTTAGTATGGTGTACAGAGCTTCTCGGCACTTGCAAATTTTCCGCTTTTAAATGTTAATTTTGGCGTAATCGATGGCACTCTGTCCGTAGCGAGGGTGCTGGACGATATGGTTCCCGGGGAGAGGATAGCCGCCAATGCCCTTTGCCATTTGTTTCCGCCCACTCGCGGCAGCGGCCGCTTTGCAATGCGTTGTTTCACCCCTGTTCGGCATATTAAGTAGAATGCTCGATTACCCCCGT